CATGTTCCAAAAAATCGCTTGGATCACCGCGTGGGCAAGCTATTTCATTCAGCCCATCGCGACATCATTGCCAGAATGAGAGTTCGCGCGCTGCCTCTGTCTCACGGCGCAGCGTGCGAGGAGGAGCTCGCGCTGTCGAACTGGATCCTTGACACGCTGGGCTTCCTCGGCGGTGACTGCGTAGGCATCTCGCTTCAGCCGTGTGGCGTTGGCTTCGGTGCCTTTTCAGCATTGAACTGGGCATCAACCAGCAAGTGGAGCTGCAGCTGGGCGAGCCGGGACAGGACGCGCGCAAGGTAGAACCGCTTCAGGCCAGCGTTGCCGCCGAGCCATTTGGAGGCCAGTGGCGCGGAGGAACAAGCTGATTCAGATATGATTGTGTGCACATAAATTCGCCGAGCAAGGCATTCAATCGATATCATGCCGTGTACGACACCACCCGCCTTGCCCTGTTCGGCCACTTCTGTTGCGCCTGCACCCCCCCGCTACTGCTTTTCCCGCCTCACCCTCTGCATCGCCCTCCCCCCATCACCCATCAGTCCCTCCACCACTACCGTCTCCCCTCCCTTTCCCCCTGTTCCCCCTGCTATCCACTTTCTCCCAGCGGAGACTCTTGGCCCTTCTTGTGTGGATGCTCCGCTCTCCCCAAGTGGACGCCCGTCATTCACGCTGGTTTCGAAGGTTGAGCCCTTGGGTTGGCCTGCGTTCGCTTACTTCTCGGGTGGATGAAGACTCAGAAGATGGCAGCGGGTCTAGCAGGAAATTGCGAGCCCGCCCCGCGCGTCGCTCCCAGGCAAGGCACGGACGCGCTCGCGGCGTGCAGACGAGACGGGGGGGACGGGAGGAGGAGAGGGGGAGAAGGGGGGGCGGAGAGGGGGGCGGAAGGGGAAGCGCGAGGGGGGGAGAGAAGGGGTGCTGAAGGGTCGAAGGGGCAAGAAAGGGAGAGGAGGGAGAAGGTCCATGATGAGAGGGGCAACGGAAAATGCAGGTGGAGGACGAGAGGCGTGAAATGCTCCTCTTGCGCCCCGCTCTTCCATTGGTCCCGCCCTGGCGGCCCCAGGGATTCACCTTGTAAGTACGCGCGGAGACCGTCGTCGCCTTGGTCGGGGCCTCCGGGAGGGGAGCGAGGGGGCAGCCAAAAGTGTCGCTACCTCCTCCCTTGGCGCCCAGTCCTCCCATCTCGCATGGTCCGCTTGCTGCTCAAATTGTACAGCCTCTGCATTGTCCTCCGCATGATCGTCTTCTCTGCTTCCTAAGTGGGTAGAGGCTCTCAGTCATCATCCTTTGCCCCCTTTCATTATATGATTCCGAAGTGTCTCTCCTTTCATCGGGCTGCCCCTGCTCATGTTGCACACCCATCCTTTTCCTCCTCCTCCTCCTCCTCCTCCTCCTCCTCCTCCTCCCTCTTCCTCCTCCTCCTTCCTCTTCCTCCTCCTCCTCCTCCTCCTCCTCCTCCTCCTCCCCTCCTCCTCATGCTCCTGTTCCTGCTCCTCCTCCTCCTCCTCCTCCTCCTCCTCCTCCTCCTCACCTCCTCCTCTTCCTCCTTTTCTTCTTCCTCCTCTTCTTCTTCCTCATCCTCCTCTTCCCTCCTCCGCCTCCTCCTCCTCTTCCTCCCCCATCCACTCCCCCATCCTCCTGACATGCGCCTCGTGTTCCTGCTATTCTCCCGCTCTCCTCGCCTCTTCCTCCCCCTCCTGGCTCTTCTCCCTGGCGGGCCGCTGCTCGCCCTCACCCGAGGCGTCAGCCCCCACGCCTTCCTTCCGCATTCCCCCTCCCAGCCCACGGATGCGGCCTCCCCCCTTCTGGCCCCCTTCTGGACTTTCTTCCTCGTCCTCCTCGTCCTCCCCCTCCTCTTCCTCCTCCTCACTCCTCCTCCGCCTCCTCCTCCTCCTGCTCCTCCTCCTCCTCCTCCTCCAGGCTGGGGTTGGAGGGTTGGGCCGTATCTCGTGTCACTCCCATGCTGGCTGTCCTGTCCGCCTGACGTGTCCCGTCCAGCCCTTCCCGCTCCCAGACCCCCGAAGTCGGGATTTTTGTTCATTGTCGACCCCCAGAGGTCTGAACCCCCTCCCCGGGACGGGTTTTTTTATCCTGAGTCGTTTTTTGACGATCTTGGGGCCCAGCGAGGGCCCAGCGGAGGCCGAAAATAGCGAAATGTTTCCCGTCGTGATCTCTTCACAACGCGAGGGGGTCTTCCTCCAACGAGGCCCCGCAGGCGCGGCGGATCGAGGCGATCAGCGATAGCGGGGCCTGCGATGTCGGAGCCGGCGCCCCCCGGCAGGTCCCTCGAGGTCCTTGCGCGCGGCGCAGGCGAAGCCCCGCGGGGCAGGCGCGGGCGAGCGTAATCCCCCACCCCATCCCGGGGGGTTCTCCTCCTCCTCCTCCTCCTCCTCTCCTCCTCCTCCTCCTCCTCCTCCTCCTCCTCCTCATCATCATCATCATCATTCCCCGCCTCCTCCTCCTCCTTTTCCAGCTCCTCCTTCTCCTCAGCCTCCTTTTCCTCCTCCTCCTCTTCTCCTCCTCGTACTGGTGGTCCTCCTCCTCCTCCTCCTCCTCCTCCTCCTCCTCCTCCTCCCCCTCCTCCTCCTCCTCCTCCTCCTCCCCCTATTCATCCTTCTCCTCCTCCTCCTCCTCCTGCTTCTGCTCCTGCTCCCGCTCATGCTCCTCCTCCTCCTCCTCCTCTTCCTCCTCCTCGTGCTCCTGCTGCTCCTCCTCCTCCGGCTCCTGCTCCTCCTCCTTCTCCTCCTCCTCCTCCTCCTCCCCCTCCTCCGCCCGGTGTGTGTAAGTGTGCGTGTAAGAGTGTGTAGGGAAGTGTGTGTGTGTGTTTAAGTGTGTAGGTGTGTGTAAAAGTGTGCGTGAATGTGCGTAAGCTTGTGAAAGTGAGTGTGGAAGTGAGTATGTGAAAGTGTGTGTACTCTGTGTTTTTAAGTGCGTGTGTGTGCTAGTGTGTGTACTTCAGTGCGCATAAGTGTAAGTGTGTGTAAGTGTGTGAGTGTGTGTGTGCAAGTGTGTGCAAGTGTGTTAAATATGTACAAGTGTGTGTAAGTGTGTATGTGTAAGTGTGTATGTGTAAGTGTGTGTAAGTGGGTGAGTAAGGGTGTGTGTGTGTGAGTGTGTGTAAGTGTGTGTGTGAAAGTGTGTGTAAGTGTGTGTAAGTGTGTGTGAGAGTGCGTGTAAGTGTGTGTAAGTGTGCGTAAGTGTGTGTGTGTGTAAGTGTGTGTAAGTGTGTGTAAGTGTGTCTGTGTGTGTGCAAGTGTGCGTAAGTGTGTTAAGTCTGTGAAAGTGTGTGTAAGTGTGTATTTGTAAGTGTGTGTAAGTGTGTGTAAGTGGGTGTGGAAGGGTGTGTGTGTGTGTGAGTGTGTGTGTGTGTGTCCGCGTGTGTGTGTGCGTATGTGTGTGAGAGTGCGTGTGTAAATGTGTGTCAGTGCGTGTAAGTGTATGTGTGTGTAATTTTGGTGTATTTGTGTGTAAGTGTGTGTGTAAGTGATTGTAAGCGTGTGTGTGTGAGTGTGTGTGTAAGTGTGTGTAAGTGTGTGCAATGTGTGTAAGCGTGTGTAAGTGTGTGTGTGTGTCAATGTGTGTATGTGTATGTATGTGTGTAAGTGTGCGTAAGTGGTTGTAGGTGATGTAAGGGTGTGTGTAAGTGTGTGTAAGTGTGTGTGTGTGAAAGTGGGTGTGTAAGTGTGTGTGAGTATGTGTAAGTGTGTGTATGTGTGTGTTTGAGTGTGTGTGTGTGTTTGTAAGTGTGTGTAAGTGTAAGCAAGTGTGTGCAATTGTGTGCAATATGGGTGTAAGTGTGTGTGTACGTGTGTAGGTGTGTGTAAGTGTGTGCAACTGTGTGTAAGTGTGTGTAAGTGTGTGTAGGTGTGTGAAAGTGTGTGTAATGTGTGTAAGCGTGTGTAAGTGTGTGTAAGTGTGTGTAAGTGTGTGTAAGTGTGTGTAATGTGTGTAATTGTGTGTAAGCGTGTGTAAGTGTCTGTAAGTGTGTGTAAGTGTGTGTAGGTGTGTGTAAGTGTGTGTAATGTGTGTAAGTGTGTGTAAGTGTGTGTAAGTGTGTGTAAGTGTGTGTGTAAGTGTGTAGGTGTGTGTAGGTGTTTGTAAGTGTGTAGGTGTGTGTGTAATTGTGTGCAACTGTGTGTGAAAGTGTGTGTACGTGTGTGTGTGTGTGTGTGAACGCGTGTGTGTAAGTGTGTATGTATAAGTGTGTGTGTGTAGGTATGTGGAAGTGTGTGTGTGTGTGTCTGTTCCTTTGTCTTTAGTCCTTGGCGTTTGGTGGCGTGTTGTGTGGCGTGCTGTTTCTTGGGGCAGGGACCTCCCATCGGGGGACTTTCGTCACCCAGCGCGTTCCGCTACCCCCCCTCCCCAAGAGGGAGGGGAAGCCGCCCCCCGCCCTCCTCCCAAGGAGTCCCCCCGGGGGGGCGGGGCCAGGCTCCGGAGGTCACCGCGACGAGAGAAGTGCGGCCAGGCGCCCGAGAGGTTACCGTGAAGAGGAGGAGCGGTCCTGGGCCCCCCTGAGGGTTCTGGGGGTCCGCGCCGGGCCTCCCAGGGCTCCTCCTGGGCCCCGGGGGCCGCCAAGCAAGGACTCGGATGAAGTCGGGTATGTCCCTCTACAGGAGGAATATTCGAAAATAGTACTTGTAAAGAAAATAGCATGGGGACGATGATTCTACCATTTGAGCATATCGTTTGACTATTTTGTGCTGTCCTTCGAAAGTCCGCCTGTAGGAGGACATGCCCGACCTAAGACTCGGACGATACAGTCGGTCCCGAGGGAAGCCCTTTGGGGCCAGGGCGGTCCTGGCGCCCCAGGGGCTTCCTTGAGGGAAGAGGGCCCTGAGGAAAAGGACCGCGCGGAAAACGGATCATGGCAGGACCCGTTTTCCTCAGGGCCCGTTACCTTCGCGCTAGTGGGCGCGGCCTCATGCGCGGGGGGGTATCGCACAGGCATGTGTGTGGAGTCTGCTGCGCGGTGGAGGGTACGCCGCTGTCTCCCCGTCGTCTGGATGGGCAGGTGCCTGCGGCGGGCCTCGCTGTGTGGTTCGGGAGAGGTCACAGCACATGGAAAACAAGCGTGTGGCGGCCATGTGAGTTCAACGCGCGCTTCATTCCCCAATCAGTGCTTGCACTGAAAGGGTCCTAGCGGATATTGAAAGATTTGACGAAAGTTTCCCGCCGATTTTGGTGGCCGGATGGGTTCCTGGGTTCCCGGTTCTGGGTTCCCGGGTCCTTGGTAATTGGTTCCGGGCCGATTTCGGTGGGATCCGGGTTCCCGGGTTCCCGGTCGATCTCCTTGTCGATAAAACCATCCATTGATTGTTTTTTTTTCTCTGGTGTAATGTTGATCGTGCCTTTCTGTGTTTGTCTGCCCTTGCCGCTGCATCTGAAGAGAAGTGCTGCGGGTCTCGGCCGCCAGCGGCTGCTCTAACCCGTCACCGTCATCGTCGTCGCAAGGGGCAATCGCCATTGCCATCGCCACGAGCACCCTCGGGATTGGCCTAATGAGTTCTCCTGGCCGCACCTTGGGCGAGTTTCCCTTCTGGGCGCCCCCTGAGAGTTCGACTTTCGAGGGACAGCTCGCACCAAGTCAGGCCAGCTGAATCGTGGGAGTCATCGGCTTCTCTGAAGACAGGTGGCAACGTTCTAAACGAGTCCAGTAGCAAATCATGTGGCGCATGAGGGTCGCACTCTTGCAGAATTCGAGTCGTCGAGATCATCCCAGTCTCGGTCGCGGATGCAGGGTCCCGCTCCCGCCGCAGCTGGCAGAACGACGGGGGACCCCCAAGAGGCCAAGAGAGAAGGCGTTCGCAGAGGCGGGCAACTGTGGCCTGTTGCGCCGCAACGCGAGGCATCGAAGAGGGGTGTCGGCCCAGCCGCTCGGGGAGAGAGGGGAGGATACCACGCACGGACTCTGGGCGACCCGCCGCCCAGAGGACGTGCGTCCGTTGTCCCCCACTCCCCCCCATCCTCCGTGGACCTCAGCGTCTGAGTCCACACGGGCTGGATGGTGCCAGGCGGAGCCCTGGACGCGCCACATTTGAAAGGACGGTTTTCGCGCTGCCTCCCACTGGCCTCATCCTTCTCCATCTGCTCCGAAGTTGCGCCGGCATTATTCTTATATGTACTACCTATACGTATATAGGTGGTACAACAAAGCGCAACACCAAACAACATCTATAGATATGTGTGGTCTTTATCTATAGATAGATAGATAGTTAGATAGATGTATATATATATATATATAGATAGATAGATATATAGACAGATAGATATAGATATATATATATATATATAGATAGGTAGGTAGGTAGATGGATAGATAGATAGATAGATATATAGATAGATAGATAGATAGATATCGACATAGAGATAATCCTCTGGGCGACCCGGTGACGGCGCAGCCCGCGCGCCTGCCCCCCGCTGAGCGCTGCGGGCCGCGGGGCAGACCGTGGCCGCGGCGGAGGCCACCAGCGCCGGGCTCGTCGCCGCGTGCCTGCAGGCCGTGCGGGGCGCCAGCGCCTTCTGGCAGGGCGGCGTGGTGATCTACTCGCCGAGGGCGGCCGCCGCCCTCCTGCCTCGGGAGGTCCCAGGCCTCCCGAAGGGGGGCCTCCTCCTCCTCTTCCTCCTCCTCCTCCTCCTCCTCCTCCTCCTCCTCCTGCTCCTCTCCTCCTCCTCCTCCTCCTCTCCTCCTCCTCCTCCTCCTCCTCCTCCTCCTCCTCCTGCTCCTCCTCCTCCTCCTCCCCTCCTCCTCCTCCCCCCTCCCCTCCTCCTCGCCGTGGTGGATGTTTGCGACCTAGATGTGGGGGGTTCCAGAAAGGGCCTTGCCTTCGAGGATGGATGGAGCGGTCATCTCTTCCTCGGCGGAAGGGCGGCGGAAGGGCGGCGGAAGCAAAGGATGCGCCCCCCAAGAGATGAACACGTTTCGGGGTTCAGGGTCTCTGGAGTTCGCCAGGTGAGGACTAGGGGGGGTGGATCTCATGGCGGGGGCCAGGACATCTCCCCAGATTTCATGGCGCCTCCTCTTATTTCAATGCGTCCCCGGCTCCCCCTTGGGCCGTGCACATGCCACTGGCCATGATTTGCGCCCCCCCCCCCCCCCTCTTGGACGCCCCCTCTTGGCCGCCCCCGAGAAAATGGGGTCGGAGGATCGCGACGCATCGCCGGTGCATCGGCGATGTGGCGCGACGGGTAGCCCGATTTCCTCCACCTCGACGTCGCCGGCGCATCGCCGACGTCGCCGATGCATCGCCAGGGCAACGGCGACGCATTAGCAGGGCGATGCATCGGGGATGCGGCGTGATCCTCGGACCCCATCCACTCGGACCCCTTCTGGGAGGCCTCTAGAGGTCCTCGTGCGGCTTGGCAGCAGGAGGTCCAACTACAGCAGCCCCGAGAGCTACGTGCGCTCGAAGGAGTCGAGTATAGCTAATGACCGCACAGGTGCATGGACTTTTTCAGTCGGCGCTGGGCCCCCACTCCGGCGCGTTCCGCGCGCTAGGGGGGGGTCAGCCTCTGACGGTGGCAGCTTTATGCTTCTCCCCCTCCTCCTCCTCCTCCTCCTCCTCCTCCTCCTCCTTCCTCCTCCTCCTCCTCCCTCCTCCTCCTCCTCCTCCTCCTCCTCCTCCTCCTCCTCCTCCTCCTCCTCCTCCTCCTCCTCCTCCTCCTCTCCCAGAGGAGGTGTTCACCTCCACCCTGGCAAAGTTCTACCGGGAAAGGTTCGCCGTGGACTGGGCGCTGGCGGAGAGCGGGGCGTCTGACCCCAGTGGGCTGCCGCCGCAGCTGCGGGAGGCGGGAGCTTTCACGTCCGCCACTGTGGCAGGACCAGGAGGCCCAGCTCTCTCTCTCTCTCTCTCTCTTTCTCTTGTTGCTCCTTGCGCTCCCCCTCTCCTCCCCTGACCTTCCAGAGTGCCAAACATTTGCCCTCCAGACCTGTAGGCCTGTCTGGACCAAAACCCCGTCAGGACTTTAGACGTCGAGGTCCTGGTGCTGTTTGTTTGCCCTCGCGTGCAAGGTCAGGGTCCTCCTTGGCAGCGTTATGCTCCCCCTCCCCCTCCTCCTCCCTTTGATCCTCCTTCACCTCCTCCTCCTCTTCCGTCCGCTTCCTCCTCCTTGGCAGCGTTACCTCCTCCTTGGCAGCGTTATCCTCCTCCTCCTCCTCATCATCATCATCATCCTCATCCTCATCCTCCTCCTCCTCCTCCTCATCCTCCTCCTCCCCCTCCTCCTCCTCCTCCTCCTCCTCCTCCTCCTCCTCTTCCTCCGCCTCCTCCTCCTCCTCCTCTTCCTTCCGTTCCTCCGTCCGTCTCCTGCGCTTCCTGCCCTTTTTGGGCCCCGTGGGGAGGCCCGAGGCCCCCGGGGGGCGGCTTGGCTGCCGAGAGCTTGCTGCCCCGGCAGGCCTGGAGCTGACCCGGGTCTACAGGGCGCCACCGGGGCGGACCCGCGAGGAGCACATTCCGGGGCAACGATTCAGGGGCATAGGGCATACTCCAAATCCCTTATGAATCGTCCCCCGGGTCGGGTGTTTTAAGGCGCCTTTTTTGTAACTAAGGGGATCCGGTTTATTAGGGCGCTTTCTGTGGATTGGAGCCTATAGGGGGTCTGGTTCATTCAGGCACCCCGTCGAAGAGGGGGTCCGGAATATTAGGTCGCATTTGGAGGGGGGTCCGGTTTTTTAGGGGGGGTCGATTAATCAGGGATTTGGAGTAGGGGGGGAATGCATCGACCCCTAATCGCCCATTGATCGCCGTTGGGGGCCCGATAGCCCAAACTTGCTTAGGAAAATGCGGGTTCACCATCGGAGGCCTATCGCCGATCTATCGGTTATGTATCGCCGATGCCAGGTCGGTGCATCCCCCCCTATGCCAGTCCCCCCTTGTCTTTGCCCATCAACATGCTCCCCAAGAGAAAGCGGGTACACCGACCCCGCTGCCCACCCCAAAGCCTGTGGGTCGCCGACTACCTCCCAGGGTCCGGGTGCACTCGTGCGCCATGCCCACATCTGGGAGGTCGTTAATGCTCAGCATCATCTAGTTTATCCCCATCCCCACTGGAACATGGCATCTCAGACCCACTGGTCCACCGTCCCGGGTGTGGATAGGCCCCGCTACATACGAAGCAACATGCATAGATGATTCAGGGCCCTCACCCCCCCATGCTAATGGTACCCCCCCCGCTGGATGGGTACGCCCGTGAGCTTCGCGAAGGCCTCGGGAATGAGCCCTATGGTCGTGGCCCTGTGAGCGTGGCGTGATGGAGGGAGGTGCCAGTGACCCCGCACCTCCCCCTGTTGGTGAAGGGTGGTGCTGCGGTACCTTTGTCATCGTCGTCGTCGTCCTCGTCCTCGTCCTCGTCTCCACCACCATCCCGGCTTGGGGGGCGGGCTTGCGGAACTATAGGGCCCATCCCATTTGGGTGGGGGAGTATCAGTGAACGCTCGATCAGGTGTCATACATCCCCACCTGGGTGGGTCAGTTGGCCAGTGTGGTCAAGGCCACGCCTGCGGGGACAGGGACTGGTGGTCAGATGCCCCGGGTGGCGTGGGCGGGCCAGGGCTAGGACGAGGATAGATCCGTTCCAGAGCGTTTGGGGACGCTTCTCAGAGCGTTCTGGAACCCGCTAAACAGGCCGCGGCGCCCGAGACATCCTGCAGTTCCGCTGGCTCCCAGAGATCCCCGATGTATCCTCACCCGATTTCCGCCTCGTCCTTGCTTCATCTTAGTCGAGGGGGGGGAGCGGTGCCTCGATGTGCACAGCTTCTCTTGGCAACGTGTGGGCGTTCGCGGCCTTCGCGCTGGAGCTGCTGCGGGAGGCCGCCGCCGGCGCTGCCGCCGACGCGGGCGCGCGCCCACGCGACCCCGAAAGCAAGCTGTGAGGGAGCGTCGGGCGTCGGCGACGCCCCCTGGCCCGCGGGAAGACGCGGAAGGACGACGACGAGGCAGCAAGCTGTGAGGTACGCAGGAGGAGGAGGAGGAGGAGGAGGAGGAGGAGGAGGAGCAGGAGCAGGAGGAGGAGGAGGAGGAGCAGGAGCAGGAGGAGGATGAGAGAGGAGGAGGAGGAGGAGGAGGAGGAGGAGGAGCAGGAGGAGGAGGAGCAGGAGGAGGGAGGAGGAGGTTTGGGTTGGGTTGGGAACGGCCTAAAAGGCAGCGGCACGCCGCTAGAAGCACTACCACTCCCAGTCTTCCACATCGCTTTCCGATGAGAAGCCGGAGTCGCTTGCTGTACGGGCCCTGGCGGTCACCCTCAGGCCGCGCACGCGCACCGCAGGCAGGTCGGATTCAGCTATGCCGAAAGAGCGGAGCACGACCTCCCGCTGGGACAGCGCTGGCGCCGCTGGGCGTTCTTCGCCAGCGCGGGCACAGGTTGGCGCTGGAGAGGCGGCAGTCGAAAAGACGGCTTGCAAACGGAGGAGGAGGAGGAGGAGGAGGAGGAGGAGGAGGAGGAGGAGGAGGAGGAGGAGGAGGAGGAGGAGGAGGAGGAGGAGGAGGAGGAGGAGGAGAGGGGGGGCCCTCCGCAGCTCGGCCGCAGAGGGCCTCCACCTCGCGCAGGCGAATCGCCCTCGTGGGGCCTCTTGGGTGCCCCGGGGCAAGGTCGAGGATCGTGGGAGCCAGACGGGGGAGTGAGATCGAGGATCGGGAGGGCGGGCAGGATGAGCAAGATGGGGGGCACGATCGAGACTCGGGGGGTGGGTCTTCTTGGCTGTCGGGGGGGGTGGGACATCTTCGGGCAGAGGCGGCAGGGTTGGGGTGCCTTGGCGGGGCGGCAAGCCTTTTGGCGCGTCGCGCGGGAGGCCCCCCGCGCACTCTTGAGTTGAGTAGGCCCTCTGGCCGTGTCTGAGGAGACGCACTGAGGCGGCAGCGGACAGACAGCAGGTGGGCAATACAGTGGAGGCCCATGCCAAGAAACACCCTGGTTGCCTCCAGGGTGCCCTTGGTTTCTTGGGGTGTCGATGGTTTTGCGACGGAAGGCGTGACTGTCCCACACCGAGAAACAATGACGTCCTAGGGTCTCAGGGGTGGGTTTCTTGTGCAAGGTTTTTGCGGACTGGCCTCACCTGTAGGTATCAGCATGTTGGAACCATCTGGGGTCCGAGGTGGCCCAGCACTGGTTCAGGCCAGCAGGAAGGGTTCGAGGTCTTGGGTTCGGGAATGTTTTTGTTGGCCTTTTCGGCCTCCGGGGGGGCCGTTTTCGGGTCCCGGGACTGTCAACATCGGCCCCGAGGTGAAAAATTGCACCAGATGGATCCTTGGAGGGGTCCCGGAACCGATTTTGAATCGATTTGGGTTCATCCCCCACTCCTCCTCCTCCTCCTCCTCCTCCTCCTCCTCCTCCTCCTCCTCCTCCTCCTCCTCCTCCTCCTCCGCCTCTTCCTCCTGTTCCTACTTCTCCTCCTGTTCATGCTCATGCTCATGCTCATGCTCATGCTCATGCTCCTCCTCCTCCTCCTCCTCCTCCTCCTCCTCCTCCTCGTTTCCTCCTCCTACTCCTCCTGCTTCTCCTTCTGACTCTTTTCCTTGAGGCCCAACCACTTCAGCTCCCCAGGCTGCCTCCAATCCGCATGCACGGGGCGTGCGATATAAAGCTGTTGGGAGAAGACGTTGCGTCTCGCTCGGCACGTGTTGCTTGCTGGTGCTCCTGTTGCTGCTTCTCTGCCCCGCTTCCCTCTCCCCTTTTGCTTTCTTCCTCCCCCTTTAGCCACAGGGCGATTTCTCTTGGCTGGTAAAAAAAGGTTGTTTGCTCGTTCCTCGCGCTGGATTGCTCAAGCGACGCAGTGGAGAGCAGGAATCCCGTTTGGCCCACCAGTGTTACGGCCCCCTGGAGAGGGGGCAGAGCGAAGGGTCACTTCTTCCCCAGGGTATCGTTGAGACGGGAGTGGAGTCTCAACTCGAGGCTGCTGTACCTTCGCCCAGAGAGACGATGGCGCTTACACTCGGGTCGTTTTGGCTACAAGGTGCACGATGCCAAGTCAGAGTAGGGTGTGGCCAAGCTGTTAAGCTTCGTGCAGACCGAACTATCCCATTGAGGCCTGGAAGTGTCTCGTGTTGGCACTGCTCCTCCCTGAATGGATCATCATCCAGGCCTTGCCCCGCTTGCCTTCTCTCGTCTACGACCGTGTTTCTCACTCGCGACTCCCCCAAACTGTGCACGTAAAGCAACTCCCTCAAGTCATGGCTTGGAGTCGAAGTCATGGCGGGAGGGCTCTGGCGTGAGAAACCGCAGGAGACTTACTCCTAAGAGTGCCTGGCGCGTCGCGCATTCCCACCAGCCCATCCACGAGGAAAGGCGGAGTCCCTGTTCAGCCCCGCCGTTCAAGAGCCCCCAACATCGTTTCTTGGGGCGTTCGTGGGGTGCTATTACGTAGGGCCGTCGTGGAGGAATCGTGCGGGGCTTTGCCATCTCGAGCGATCTTGCGCTATCTTAAGCCATATTGCAGGCCATCGTGAATTTGCTGGTGCCCTCTTCGAGCCATCTTGGGCTCTTTATGGGGCTTCGCGAACGCCTTTTCATGGTTTACCCACAGCGCTTTTTGTGACAGGGGGGAGGCGCCCAGGAGGACGTTTGGAACACCGAATCCCACTGGTGACGTAAGAGCCCATGCAGGAGAGCAGCCGTTTCATCCAGGGCCGATGCCTCGTCATGTTGACATCGAAATCCCGTGGGGGCCTCACATGGGCAACTGGCAGGGCATCCAGAAACGATGTGCCCAGGCGTCCCGCCATGATAATTGGATTGGAGCGTTATCGCACACAGTGCCGACGCCCGCTTCATGGAAGCCTCACATGAGCAGTCAACATGCCATCCAGGAACGATGCTCAGGCGTGCCGCCATGATCAATGAAGTGTGCTAGCATGCAGTGAAACGGTCGCCCAGAAAAAAAACGTGTTGGAAAACAGGGTCCGACGACGGAAGAGCCCGCGCAGCAGCGCCCATGATGATGGAGGTGCACCCGTTTTCAATATACTGGCCGCCCAGAAGTGTATGGAAAATCGAACCCTACCGCATGCAGGAAAAGCCCACACGGCCTATGCTAATTTTGATTTCGAACCGATGCCCAGGCAAGTTGTCTAGGGAGTTGAGGCCTCCTGGATTCATCTGGGGAGGAGGAACCGGAAGAGGAACAGGAACAGGAGCCGGAGCAGGAACAGAAACGAGCACGAGGAGGAAGAGGATGAATACGAGGAAAAGGAGGAATAGGAGGATGCGGAAAAAGAGGGGGGAGCCCGATGCACAGGCAAGTTGTCTTAGGAACCTCGTGGAGGCCTATTTGGGTTGCGCAAGTTGTACGAGGGGCAGACGGGGCAGATCCTGTCTGACCGTACGAGTCGTGTTTTATGATTGGAAAGAGGAACAAAGCAAGGGGATCCGATGAGCCCCACTCTGTTCAATGCTCTGCTGGAATCAATGATGTG